TCAAATCGAACTATTTGTTGCATCGAAAAACTTTGATGTATTCATTGGAACTGAAAAAAATTTAAAGTTTGGATGAGAGCAAAAACTCTTATTTCTTGGAAATGGTGTAAATTGAAATAAATGAAGTGAATTACTTAAAGATGAAATTCTTTACTTCTTTTCTTCAGCAGCTTTCTCGGCTTCTTTTTCAGCTTTCTTAGCCTCTTTCTCTGCCTTCTTTTCAGCCTTTTCAGCTTCTTTTTCAGCTTCTTTTTCAGCCTCTTTTTCGGCTTTCTTTTGTTCTTTTTCAGCTTCTTTCTCGGCTTCCTTTGCAGCTTTTTTCTGTTCCTTCTCAACTTTTTCAGCGGCTTCTTTCATTATTTTTTCTTCAGCCTTGCTTTGTTCCTTTTCTTTAATCTCTTCCTTCTTTTCTTGGACTTTGGCTTCAACCTTTTCCTTGATCTTATCAGAAACATCGTAGTCTTGAAGTGAAGCATGAGCAACAACTACAATCACTGCAATCAACAAGAAGACAATATAAACACCTGGGGCTCCGAACATCAAAGCAAACAAAGTGAAGACGACGCCAACAAGTGTTGGGATATAGCAGATCTTAATATCAAATTTGTCCATATAGTCTTTCACATACTTTTCAATATACTTTGGCCACGCGAAGACAAGTCCGGCATAAACTGCGACAAGTAACAACAACATAACTACGTGAACACATAAAGCGCCAATGGAGATCAACAATCCAGTGACAAACATATAGAATTCGCCATACTTCTTAATGTTATCCTTCATAGCTTTTTTGGCATCATTAAGGTCTTTTGGTACTTTAAATGGTGGATGAATAGCATCTACAGCTTGTTTCTGAACTTTTTCAGCAAATGGCTTGATTGGGCATTCTTTGGCTCCGAGTGGGCAAGACATGGTGGTTTGGTTTTCAAAGTTCATTTCACCTTATATTGCATTGATTTGTGTGGTGGCAAGACGTGGTTCTTCTAAAGGTCGAAGCGCCATTTTGGGACGACTTATAAAGTCCAGTCTTTTCGTTTCGATGTTTATTTCATAGACGGTTATCCACTCAATTTCCGGGAAGTGAAGCAATCAAATAAGACTTTTGTTTTTGTACCTTTATAATTTATAATTAGGGAGTAAGTTTTGTATTTCTTTTTTGGTCGATTCAATTCAATTACTTTAAGTATTATTTTTGAACCCACGTCGTTTGCTGTAAATTGGACTATCATTCTTTCTTTTTGAAGTGGAAACATCTGTAAATTAATGCCTTACAAGTTTGAGTCTTGGAAATGATTTTTAAATACAAAAAGAAATTGAAATACTACTTAAATAATATAATTAAATGTATTATTATATATAGTATCAGTTTTCAATCAAAGAACGATATTATGTTATTTAGTGAGATTGTTTAGCAATAATTAAAAAATGAAAATATTTCCAAAACATAATAGTAAAAATAACCAAAAATAAACTACTTTACTAAACTAAGAAATTATGCGATGTAATATAAATATTATGATCGGAATTTGAGTGATCTGAAATATGTGGCCAACTATAAGGCCAAAAGGACAGGAATCTCAAAAATCCACCATGATTTAAAAATATTAATTTCAAATAATAGTATAGTAACAGTTTAGAGAAGTAATGCTGTGAAGTAAAAGTATGATAAAGATCCATTCTTGTTATTTATATTGACATTCATCAAGTCTGTTGTATTATAATAATGAATGATTGGTTGAGAAACAACAAATATGCCACATGCATATGGACTTTATTATGGTTTCAATTTTATTTAAAATTATGATATATGAGATGATAAATTTAATAACTAATTTACTTCGATATTGTAGATAACTCTTCAATAAGAAACATTTAATGAAACACTTTCGGTTTTGTTGTTCTCTTGTTTTTTATTTTTTATTTCACTATTTTTAAATGTTAAAATATGATTTATTTCGAATTTATTTATGAACAATTGTCCCGATGAAATAGCGAACAATTGTTGTTAGTTGATGTATTATTTGTAAAACAAACATGGTTGGTATTATTAATATATAAACAATCTGATCAATAACTAAAAGCACTTATTTGTAACTGGTTTTAGTAACAAATCATTGATTCTTTTATTTTAAAACTAAGCGAATGTTACAAATTCAGTCAAATTGGAAACCCTCTCGTTATTTATTCGTTTCTTTGTCCGTCCACATATAAATTTTATGGTAAAATTAAAGCATAACTTTGATCTAACTTGAAAAATAAACACTGCATATTTCAAAAAATGAAGGCAAAATACAACTGATGATGAAAATGTACCATACTCATGATTAATTTGAACGACTATTAATAGTACACGTTTTTTGCAACAAATTAAAACCCAAAATAGTTATAATTCTATTTTTACAAAACTTATATGGCAATTCTATTTTCGTACAAATAATAATAATTTAATGTAAAAATTGGTTAATGAAATTATAATAATAAAATTATTAATTTATTAAAAAAACAAATGTTTAAAATATAAAAATAATGTAAACTAAAGCAATTATTAGTTTTTATCATCAAATTTTGCCTTGTTTTAAAAAAAGTTTGTTTTATTATTTTAAAAAAAACAAAAGTATTGTTTTCGTAAGTTGGCGAAAAAAAGGAAAGTAAAACAAAATTATATTTTTAAATAATATCTATTTTGAGGTAAACAATTTAAGAATTTCAACTTACTATATAACAATTAATAATTTAATTATTAATAATGTACTACTCTTACAGACCAATAACAAAACAAAACAATTTCCAAATTCAAAAATAGAGACTTGGAAATGAGCCGAAGTGATTTCAAATGTTTATCAGTTAATTTATTAAACCAATTTGTTTTGAACATTAAGACGAAGTATTTTTTCATTAAATAATAAACGAAGATTTGGGAATACAAAACGTTTTTGCGACGAAAAAACCACCAATCTATATAGAAGACGTTTTTGACTGTTTTTTGTTTTTTTTATCCGTCTGGTTCTAAAAACGTTTTTAAGTTAAGCTAAATTTACACCAACAGTTTGCTAGTTTTGGGTTCATTTATTTTTTTAAAATACACAAAAAATCATGCAAATCGACGGGATATTAGCGGAACACTTCTATACTCAAATTGGGGTTTTCTACCCCCGAAAACTTGCGAGAAACGATCGGTAATACAACTTGCTTTTTCCAAAAAAAAAGATTTTTGATCTACCCCAGAGTCTTTTTTCATCGAATAAATCCGCCAAATTGTGTGTAAAGTTACACAACTCCTTTAATTCATAAGAGGTAAGTTTATTATTTTAGTTTAAATAGTAATCAAAAAACGGGACATTTGGGAGTACACCAATTAATGGCAAAACTGGTTTTCGCAAACACCCAAAACTCTTTTTTCTATTTTCGAAATAGAATTACAACTTCTAAAAATACAACACACAATTCCCGTTTTGATACCAATTTTTTGACTTATTAAAATTGTTTTTTTTTACCAGAAGAAAAGCGATGTATGAAATTCTGTTATTTATGCTTTGTACTAAGTTTTCTATTCAATGCAAACAATGCAAACATACTACCCAATTTACTTCAACCACATCAATTCGTACCACTCAGACATCGTCCCAAGAAGTGTGTCTACAACTTTTCAACAACAAAACACTCAATACGAATGCTCGAGAACTCCTCTGTCTTTCGATAGTATTTCGCAATGGTCAAATGAAAACGATGTTCAGTATTACAACCACCAGAGACTTACTCAAAACAACTTGAAGTGCTCGACTATCTCGTTCCTCACTTCAAGCAATAAGGAGTCAAGAATAAATGACTGGATTCATGTCAATGAATCAAATAAGGCGGAGTATCCACACCCTTCTCTTCTCAATTAAGGGTAGTGTCTGTCTGTATATTTATTTGTAATGTGTGTTAATTATGGTTTTCAAATCATTAATATTTTTCTATAAATTTTTATATTAAATTAATAATTTGTTTATAATAATTAATTATATCATTGTTTAAACTATTTTAATTAATATATTTTCTAATGTTTTATTATAATATTCATTTTTTTTCATAAAAAAATTTTAAAACTAAAATAATTATACAAGCTCCAAATTATATATTATTATTATAATAATAATAACATAAGAATTAATATATTAATTAAATCAATAATTCTAACTTAAAATTATTGATTTAATTAATAATAAATTAATAATTAATTAATAATTCTAAGTTAACCATTTCATAAATAATAAAAATTAACAATATTATAATTTGAAAATTACTTAATGATAATGGATTTTTGATAAATTTTATCACAAAACGAAATGAAAAAGCCAGAATGGAAGCGTGGTTAATCAAACAAGTAACTCCTCTTTTTATTTTTGCGACATCACTCGATGAAAAATATCAAACCGATTCACACGAAACATTTCAATCACATTTTGACAAAGTTTTCACTTCCGTTAAAAACAAAGAAATCCGACTTTTTGCGGATTTGTTTTACGCACTTTCAATCCCTCTGCCAAAAAGTGAAATTGACAATTTCAAAAATTTGATTTTGACGTTAGACCTTCCGGATCTCGCAAAGATCTCGGAATTCTCAAATTTCTTCACTCAACTTGCGCTTCTTGATCCCGAAGACAAATTAGCCGCCGAGAAGTATCTGTGTCACATCAACCCAACTCGAAATCCTCGAGAAATTCGAAAAATCGCGGAAATCTCGTTTCGACTCGGAGACCCCAATCTCGTCGTATTCAATGACATCGTCGACAAAGTTCTTATCGAAAAACCATCACAACACGTCATCGAGAAATTTGGGGGCGACGGGTTCGCAATATTCACCGGAGAGGACGAGTCGGGAAGATGGAGAAGCGATGGAAATATCGAAATCGACTTCGAAAAAAACGAAAAAGTCGATTTTGTCAAAAAAAAAGAAAAAGAAGAAAAAAAAGTGGAAAATTTAAAAAGCGAAAAAACGCCAAAACTACAAAGTTCGGAAGAGGAAAAAAAATCACCAAAAAAAGTTACAAGAAAATCAGACGAAATAAACGAAAAACATAAGAGGCGGAACGAGATCGAGAAAATGAAAGAAAATGAGATAAACACACTACAGCCACAAAGACTCCAAGTTATTTCCAAGTCAATCACAGCAAAAATTGAGAAGGGGTGGCGGATCGAGAACACAGAAGAGGCGAAAATTTATTTGCAAAGAGCAAGAGAAATAATCTCTTCCTTGTAATAATTTACTAGTGGTGGAGATCATTTTAGAAATTGGATAAAATTGAAATAACAGGAAGTGGATTAATAACACCAAAGTACAGAATCAGAAGCCAAGAATTTGTTGAAGGGATTGGTCATTCTTTTGAAGAAGAAGTTCGCTCTCGTACGTAAACAGCTGCGTGATGAACTCGTTTATTTTACACCCCTTTTTAATAATATCTAGAGTGTTGTATTTGTCTTTGATGTAATAAGTGTGTTTGTCAACGTGCGCATTGTTCTCAGTGGAAGAGAACGAGAAGTCCTTCATCTCTATCGCATCGACCATCAAGTGTAGTGTTTCAATCACTTTATTCCGCTCAAACCGCCGTTGTACGGTCGATACTTTCATCCCAGAAGAGATGTCCGACTGAAAAATCTCGTTGCATCTATTCTCGACATACTCAGCAAGTTGGATCTCGTCATACTCCGTCGAAATAGAAACGATACGGAAAAATGGGTGTGCTATGGTTTTGGCAAGCTCTGGCTTCTCTATGCGAAGGTCGTAAAACTTATTAAGAACGCCAATATACACGCCTTGATAAAAGGCATCGTCCTCACTGTTTCTCTTCCGATGAGAAGAATTATATTCGTTTCGTTCTTTTGTGTTGCTCCGGCCTTGCATCTAAATACTTTTCAAGTATTTTTGTTCAAAAAATGTTATTTATAATATGTTATTTCAGGCTCTTTTACTTTTTACTTCAAGAGTGCAATTCACAATAAAAATTGATTTTTAAAACAATTATTGAAAAGAGTAAAGAAGAGGCTTTAAGCTTTTACCACTGTCACTTTAATTAAACATATTTATACCTTAATGTTGTTCTATTAAATAATTTAAACAAACACATAATGTGTATTCAAATAATTATTTTGGTGTTCTTAATAATACTTTTAAATTGTTTTTAATTAAATTGAGCTAATGTAATAAATAATTGATTATTATTATTATTATTATTATTATTATTATTATTATTATTATTATTATTATTATTATTATTATTATTATTATTATTATTATTATTATTATTATTATTATTATTATTATAATTAATTCAAAATATCGACTAAATTGTGTAACAAGAGTCAAAATATTAAACAATTTCTAACAACATTCAAAAGATTTAACTTTTTTTAATAATAAATCTATAATTTGTATTTTCAAACACCAATAAGAATTTTTGCTTGTTATTTAAAGCTTTGCAAAAATTATTTATAAATAGAAAAAAATATTCAAATTATTTTTTATATTGAAAAATAATACTGATTTAATTGTCATCAAAAATGTTATTGTTGCATTAATACACAATAACATTAATATTAACATTATAATTAAAATAATGAGTAATAAACTTCGGCGGTTTTGTTGATTATTATTTTCTGTTATCACATTTTACTTTAATATCCCGTTATTATGTCATAAAAATCTTGTAATGTAATTAATAAATAATGACGTGTGCCTTAATCAAAATGGTGAGTAATTATTTAATATTGAACCAATCGTTTTAAACTAATTTAAATAAAAATTCAAACACGCAAATTTGTTATTTTTTCTTGAAACCCATTTAATTTTTATTTTTTTACATATTCATCTTTTTATTATTTTATCGGAAAACGAAACTTATTAATGCAACTGAAAATAACAAATCATACCGATAAAATTGACTTTTAGGGGAAAAAAGTTATAATAATTAAATAAACCCGAAATGTCAAAAATGGCGGAAGAAAAAACAACATTAGTCGTCATTGTGTTCGGAGATTTAGGTCAATTCATCCATAAAAAAAGAAAACTAAAAGTAATAATAAAAAGTTGTTAAACCCCGATATAATACAAAAAGAAACGACAAATAGCCGCAAATGACCCAAAAATATTTTTATTAATTTCATCCTGTGAATTTTATGTGTTACAAAAATTTTCATATTTATAATCCACCGCTTTTTATCGTGTTATCACTCCTCGAAACTCAAGGCAATTTTTATTTTTGCCGAATTATAAAGAGAAAGAAGGCTAACTTATGCAAAATCATTCTAATAAAAAGAAAACTCTTATTAAGAGTCAATACCAAATATAAGTCTTCTTTTCATTTTTTTCATTCGCTAAATTTTCTTATTTAAATGAATTGAGTTCTTAACTTATTATGCAACAAACAGCACTTTTAAACACACCATTCTTTTTAACAGACTACAAGTGTGTAACGCACTCCGCTAACAACTCAGACGTCGTCGAAAGCTCTCTCATCGAAAAGACCAAAAAGTGTAGTGAAAAAAAACCACGCAAAAATAACGACAAAAAAAGACTGACAAAAAGTAACCTAAAAAACTTTAACATCCTTTCACCACACCAAAAGATAGAGAGAGTTTCTCAATGGACAAAAACATTGAATGACACTTGTTTATATCCAGACCCTTCTTCTCTCTAATTTGTGTGTTATGTTTGTATTATTACAATATATCCTGTCAAATCCATTAAATGACGGAGGATTGGTTCCTTCTTATACTAACTCAATTGTAGTGTTTTCGTTATAATATTCACACATTTTTATGTGTTTATCTACTCACAAGTCATGTTACAAACATCAGCCAATTACTCATTATAATTTAGTATAATATAGTATTAAAAGCTATTTAAATATTAAAAACACAACGTTTGAGCATTGCATTTGTATTTTTAATTATACAAAATTCTAAACACACCTTTTGAGTTTGTTAATGGTTCTTTTTAATATAATAAATGGTTCAGTAAAATATACCCCATTAATATTTCGAATGGCGCTCTTTAAAATAGCATCACTATTTTTCTTTAATTATAGATTCAAGATATTAGTAATTAATAATTGTTAATTAATTCAATGAATTATTTTTCTTTTTTTAAAGAACCAACAAAATACTTTCAAATTTCTAAATACAAAGCAAATTGGAACAATAAATAACTAATAAAATACTAAAAAGATAAACTATTTATATCGCCGTGTTATTCCTCTCTCAAACCCAATTTTTTAACTTATTAATTCTTCGACAATTCACTTGCATTCGAATGAGTGCCTACATTGTCCTTGCATCGTTTGCAGAGAAAATTTCGTTTCCAGTTTCGTTGATCAGTTCAGACAGATTTAAACAGACCTCACTTTACTCCATCCTCTCCAAATACCAAAACATTCTTGTGAACACAAACGTCGAGTACTTGGTTGGGTCTTATGAGTTCAAGGAAATCAAAATCCTAGTGAAGTATGCACAAAACTACCCCCTCACATTTTGTTATAACCAAACACCGAAACACAAAGTGTATGAAAGAGCTGCAGTATTGTTAAAACACGGTGTTCCATTAAGTTGTGTCTTATCGTACTTCCAAATTGATCAACAAATCGACTTTTTAAAGGTTTTATTTGTCTCAATGAATTCTAGTGTTCTTACACGTGTTGTTCAAAACACCCTTTCAGTGAATGAACAAGCAATAATTCATGACACTATTCAACAACTTTTACTTGGAAAAGTCGACGACGATTACAGAAGACAGAGCGTCATCGAACAACTCCGTCTCTGGACAAAAGATACTAAAGGACGTGTAGTTGGGTATCTCAAGACCAATTTTCTTGGAACAGTGCCAATCAGAAAACACACCACGCGGATCAAGTCGTACAGTTGTGGATTATCATTGAAAAAAGAAGACCCCGTCGCCGACTCTTTCTTTCAAGAAGAAAATGAAACAAATGGAAGTGTTCAAAGTATTACCTCTGCTCTTACACATGAAGCTCGTCAAGAAGAGAACATCAGTGAAAAGGAGATAGAAAAGAATTTTAAGAGGTATTCTATTGTTGAAAACGTTCAAGTGTTCGACGAGAAAAGAAAGAAGAGAAGAAGTTATAGAGAGAAGGGTGTCAATGTTTCAAAAGTCCTTTCATTCTCTTCGGAGAGTAAAAATGAGAATAAGGAAACAAACTCCGACGATAGCGTCAGTCACCCGGAGAATGAGAGAACTTGTATTGCAAGTGATGAAAATTTTCTAGGAAAATTTTGTTGCAACGTGAGTGAACGAAAACGAGCAAGTAGTCTTTCCATAAAGCGAAATCTCTATTTAGAAGACGGGACAAAAACGAGTCCTGAGAAGTCACCGAAGCAGATGTTATTCAGACAGACGTGTGATTCGACTTTACAAGATCAAGTGACGCAATTCAGAATATGTCAAATGCAAAGAGTGATTCGTGGGTTTCTGACAAGACGCGTGTGCACATTTAAAATGATTTCCAAGCGCAAGAAAGTGTTTAACGAGATGGCTCAAACAGAAGAAACTCTCTACAAGACCATGCAGTTGTTGGTAAAGTACTTCAAAAGGCCATTAGAAACTATGGCATACACTTCCACTGAAAAGGGGGGTCGGCAAGATAATGAAAAGGGCTTAGAAATCTTAGGGATAACCGCCCCCACACAAGAGAATGTTGATCGGATCTTTAACCCTTCTTTCCAAAGTGTCTGTGAAAACTGTTTAATAGTGAAAGACAAATTGAATCGGTGTTTACACACTTTTAAAGCTGAGAGTATGTGTGGGAATTCACTGTTAGACTGTTTCACTCATGTGATACCATTACTGCAATATACTATACACTACAACTACTCTCTTAAAGTCTGGAAACAACTCTCTACAAAGAACCCACTTGTTATCGAACTGGTCAAAACTAATAAAATGCAACAAGAATTGGAACACCAAGTACTCGAACAATTGTTGATTCAACCAGTTCAACGTGTGATGAGATACCCTATCTTAATCTCTGAATTAATTAAAACTACACCAAACAAACACCCAGACATCGTCGTATTAAATAAAGCTTATAGAAAGTATCACACGTTCTCTAAAGTAGTCGACGAACGCGCAACAGCACGAGACAACTTGTACGTGGAATTTGAAAAAAGAAATCTTCTGGAGTTCTTTACATCTAACAGAGTCTTGTTTTTTAAAGGAGACGTCGACTTGGGTGAGAAAACAAGTGGCGTTGTATTGATAGTCAACGATTTGATTCTTGTCATCAACGTACAAACCAATAAAGTATTTAAAACATTTGAAATTGATGACCAAGTCATATCTTCACCTGAAAAGAATACCGTCGTCATCAAGAATTTGTCAAGTTGCGCAGTCTTCAGAGCATCTTTTATCACCAATGAATACGCCGAAAAGTGTTCTAAAGTCATTCAAAAGATAGTGGACGAAAAATGGTATGTTCTTAACAACATAAATCCTCTCTTCTACATATCAAAGTACTAATTCCTTCGCACTGTTTATTCAATTATTTCGTTGTAATTGTATGGCATCTAATTATAGTTATATAATAGTTTCTTTATTAACAAATAATAATTCATTTTCTAAATACAAATACCAGTTTAAAATACAATATTGATAATACAATAAAACTATTTTATTATCATAGAATAGTATTCTATTCAATACTAATAAAATACCACTAAAACTGTTGAATTAATTATATAAGTTTAATTATAATAATAATAATTATACTTTATCTTTAAGGAAAAGAAACTAGTTAAATGTATTAAAGCAACACGATTGATGGAAGAAATCAATAAACGGATAGTTAAGCGAGTTTGTTCTCTTTGAAATAGATTGATGTGACAAACAAAGACTCACACGAAGATGACAAGAACGTTGTACGCGGAGGAATATGAATTCATTGTATTGAAACGTGACGAACCCCTCCACCCCGAAGTTATCGTCACACAACAAATGCTCGATGCGCTCCGGCCATCAAAGTACCCGACCAAATCAGCTAAACGGGTGCGTATGATAGTACGTGAAGACATAGAAGAACGGGAGGAGTTTAATGGTTTCGATCGCATCACTGTGAAAAATTCAGTTGCGAATGAAAAAGTCGAGAAAAATGACACAAAGAATATGACCAAAAGGTTAAGAATGGAAAAAGAAGAAGAAAACACGTCCCACGACTTTACGAAGTATTTTGAAGTGAATAAACCAAACAAATTGATGGAGGTGGAGAGTCAACAACAGAACGAAACAACCGGAGAAAACGAGAACGGAGATGATGAACCCAAACTTGCCCTCCGAGAGGTGAGAAAGAAACGGATGGACGAGGAACAAAAGAGAAAGGATATTGCAGATATAGTCAAAGAAGCGTGTCCAACACTCTTTAGCGAGAAAATTTTGTTCACGCCACAAGACTCGATGTCGGAAGAGTCTGCGAATGACGACACGCAGTTCTTGGAATATAAAAACAATTTAAATTACATGTCAACGTCGGACGACACTGAATTGGAATATTTCGACGACGGAAAGAGCGACACCGAGATATTCACCGATGACAGTGAAAGCGACGAGGAACCTGAAAACTCGATTGTTAAAGTAGTCAAAGTAGACAAAGTTGTTAAAAAAGCCCGACGGCCAAGATTACCTCGAAAACTTCAGAAAGTCGAAACCCTCAACTTTGGGAAAGGCGAAAAAGCCAAATTGGTTGGAAAGAAGAAGAAAGTGGTGGACAACGAGCGACTCCGTTTGATGGAAATTAAGCAACGAATATTGAACGATAGTGTGAATGATGCCAACAAACATGTCAATGATTCGATGACTGTTTCACAGAAAGTTCATTACAAGATACCTCGGAAGCCTCAGCCTGTAGTGTTAATCGAAGAAGACCCCAAAGAAGACAAACGACCCTGTCAAAGCATTTACAGTGGGTACAGAACACAATTTTGGAACGCCAATTATAACAGTGGGTACATCGAAGACTTACCACCTAAGAGATTGATTACGACAAACACGGATTTTGGGGATGACAATTTTCAGAATGCATTCATAGAGGATTTTAGTAAGAACTCTCAAGTCGAGTCGACTGTTATAAGGAATGAAAGTCGTGTGATCGTTGAAGAAGAAGAGACGACTAAAATAGATACTAATTTGGACGCAGCTTGTATCCACTCGGACAAAACATCGGGGAAGAACTCATCGAATGGAGAGAAGGGCGATGTGGAGGAGACTTTGAATGTTTGTTTTGACTTGAACACCGACTTAGATTTGAATAAGGAAGATAACAGTGGGATATCTATTGAAGAGTGTGAACATCATGAAGAACAAGCACAAGAAAAGCCTGAAGAGTATGGAACAATACTAATGGAAGTGGAGAAGCCTGATGAAGTAAAACAAACACAACGGTCGACAGTGAAGACACTCTTTGAAGAAGCCCAGAACGCACAAGACACATATCGAAGGAGTGCCTTTGTAAGATATATCACCGCACCCAAGAGAAGTGTCATTGAGCCACAAAAACCTTTTGTGGCTAACACTCAACAAACTGAACACCAAGTCAACACTCTTTCGCGCGAAACCCAGAGACTGGAGATGCTCAAAAAAAGAAAGAACTTGCAACGGTCTTATTTTTGAGAAGTTCTTTGTATTATATATTAACTATTTTGTACCATTATACAGATCTATCTATATATATTATACAATATAATATATATTATATTATACAGTTGTATTATCACAGACAGACAGACTACTTGATGTTAAAATAGTAAAAATTAATCAATAAGAGGCAATGAGTTCTTCTTTTATACCGGCAACATCTGCTTGGAGTTTGTCAATAAAGATTTGGAACTGCGAGCAGATTGCATCGACCTTTTCGCCTTTTTCTTTGGAAAGATTGATAGTGTAAAGTGCGGACATAAGCGCTCGCAAATATTTGTAGTCTGAAAGCTTTGAAGATGTGAGAAACAACTTTTTGGCTTTGGTCATGTCGTTCAGCTTCAAAGCCACTTCTCCAGCAAATTGCCAGAGATAGAAGTTGGTTGGTTCGAGTAATAAAGCCTCGTCGAGTTCTTCTGAAGCCTCGTCGTATCTCTCTGTATTACACAGAAGTTGAGCGAGTTGGACGTGTGCCTGTGCTTCGATGAACATTTCGTTGTATTTGAATAAGAGTTTGATAGCGGAGGAGGTGTCGCCCTCTTTGATACGCAGTGAGATCAATCGTTGTATACCAAATTGATTAGCCGGTTCTTTGTTCAACAGTGTAATGATTGCTTTTTGGATTTCCTCATTATTACCAGACTTCTCTGCTAGTAAAATTGCCTCCATCCTTTTCCTTTTCCAGTTCATTTACTTTTTCAAAGGAAAAGCATTTACTATATTTTTTAATATTCAAATCTATTTATTTAACTAGTCGTCCTCTAGGCTCTATTTGAATAAAATAGAACGTTAAACTAATATACTATAGTATTTTTATTATTAAAGTATGGTTTGAGTAACCCTTAATGAATGAAAAGATGGTGAAAGAAGTGTCATAATAATTTGATTACTGGAATTCAAAGAACGCATTAACCAAATCACCCTTTGTCTTCTTGAGTGCGGCGTACGCCTTTTCGTGTGTTGTGTTGGCTTGTGCCATTAAAACAGAGACATCTGCCTCGACTGGTGTATAGCCATTATCTTCTTCTGCATTTGTAGTAGAAGATTCAGTCTTCTCAGTCTGTGGTACTTCATGGTGATCGATGTCTGCAGCTTGTTTCTCAGCCATATCTCTCTGAAGTTGTTCGAAGAGTCTTCGTGTTTTCTCATCAACAATTTCGTTTCTTGGTTCTCCATAAACGACATACTGCTCTGAGCCGGGCAATTTGAAAACTGCTGGGCTGTGAATCACAAACTTCGCATCAGCACGTTTCATCGAAAATTCAATGACATTCAGAACTTCGACAAGTCCAACTTTCTCTAATGCCTTACGCGCTTTCTTTTCTCCTTTAGACATGATGCGTTGAGTTGGAATTTCATCTTCTTTTGTTTCTTCTTTATGTTCTTCTTCTCTTTGAACTTCTTCTTGTTGCGTCTCAGATTTTGGTTCTTCGACTTGTTTATCTGCTTCGGCGGCTTTCTCTTCTTTTAACTTTTGCTCACCAGCTTCTTTTTCCTCTTGAGCCTTCTTCTCAGTAGCTTCTTTGGCCAATTTTTCTTGTTCAGCTTTTTCAGCAGCTTCCTTCTCTGCGTTTTCTTTTGCTAATTTCTCAGCCGCTTCTTTTTCCTCTTGAGCCTTCTTCTCAATAGCCTCTTTTTCTTGTTTTGCTTTTTCAGCAGCTTCTTTCTCCTCTTTTGCTTTCTTTTCGGCTTCAACTTTCTCGGCGGCTTCTTTTTCAGCTTTTTCTTGTACTAATTTTTCCTCTTGAGCTTTTTTGTCTGCGGCTTCTTTTTCGGCCTGTTCTTTGGCTAATTTTTCAGCAGCCTCTTTCTCTGTTTGTAAATAAAATTTTCAAATCAAACCAATATAAATGATTGTGTGCAAAATACGTAACAAACCTTTCTCTTCAGTTTCTTTTGCGAGTTTTTCAGCAGCTTCCTTTTCGGCTTTTTCTTTGGCTAATTTCTCTTCTTCAGCTGCTTTCTCTTCGGCGGCCTTCTTTTCAGCAGCCTCTTTTGCAACCTTCTCTGCTTCAGCTTTCTCAGCAGCTTCTTTTTCCTCTTTTGCTAATTTCTCTTCTTGGGTTTTCTTTTCAGCGGCTTCCTTCTCAGCAATTTCTTTTGCTCTCTTTTCTTCAGCCTCTTTTTCTTGTTTTGCTTTTTCTTCTGCTTCTTTGGCTAATTGTTCTTCAGCAGCCTTCTTTTCTTGTGCTTCTTTTTCCTCTTGTGCTTTTTTCTCTGCAGCTTCTTTTGCAACCTTCTCTGCTTCAGCTTTTTCTTGTGCTAATTTCTCTTCTTGAGCTTTTTGTTCAGCGGCTTGTTTGGCAGCTATTTCTTTTTCTTGTTGTTCCTTTGTAACCTTTTCAGCTACCTTGTCTGAGTTACTAGCTTTTGAGCCCTGTATTTGGGCACCTTTTTCTTTTCTGACTTCATCTTCGATATGAATTTCTCGGATTTTCTTTTGTTCCAAGCTTTCATATTTGTTGATCATTGATGAAATTTTGGACTTCCTCAACGAATTCGACATTTTGAATATTCAGTTCGGCCTTGTTGCAATTCATACAACTGGATGAATGCTTTTTAAACCCTTTAACTTGACTCATTTCTTATTAGTTCATTTTAGTTGTATTCTGGTTTTAGTGACCTTTTGGATTAAATTTTTCGCTTGAATAATTTCGTATAAATTTCTTTCAATTGTTATCAATACAACGGGAAATCGGGGTGTAATTGAGTATTTTATTTTCATCGTTTTTTCATGCTTTTTTTGTCACATTAATTTCGATTTTGAAAAACCCTTATTTAGCTATTGTATATAATTATATATACCATATTTTTACTAGAAATAATAAATCTGCTTACCAAGCCAAAAAACAAAAAACAACAACAATAAAAAGTTCCCCTTAGACTTGTTTTTTAAACTCAAAACCGTTTCACTGTTCAATACATACTATAATTTATAATATGAAAACCATATTTATATAAATAATAAATGTTATAATATGTTTCTTGTTAAGTGACCCCAATTATTTATTTAGTGTTTCGCTTTTTATATTTCGAAACTCCACTTAAAAAGTGCCATTTTAATCTTAACAAACAGAAGTTGTGCGATTCGTTTCTTCCACCACAACAATAAAAAAGGAAAAAATCATAAGAAAAAAACGGACAAATTGAATTATACAAAACAACGAATTGACTTTTTGAAGGCCAAAAAATTAAAAGGATCTGTAAATGAAGAAAACATCATTTGAACTGTAAAATAATGGACAAAGCAATTATGATGTATTCATTATAACAAAAAGAACGTCATGAATGTATTATAAAGGTTAATTGATTCGAAAGAAGAGTAAATCGTCCTCTCCTTTGTTCAGTCGTTCGTTGAATTCAACCATTTTCACATTTTTGTAACTCTCTTCAAATGAGCTATTCATCTGCAAGTTATAATAAACAAAGTCGTACGACATGAATGAGTTTCCCAATTTATTAATTCGAGTTGGTCGAAGTAACAAATTCATTCGCATCAAAGTGTCGTATGGCAACAAGACAAAAGAACACTCTTCTCCGTTCTTCACAAATATCTGTGGTCTAAAGATCTCTCCCATCAACTCTTCTGACACTTCTTTTAACCCCAAAAAGTTACATTCTTCTTGTTTGTTGCATTCCTTCAATAAAATGTCGTAGACGGCCTCTTTATACGTTTTAATGTACTTTGGAAATGCGTTCGGTGAAGTGACTAAATAGTACGTGTTATTCACATTGAGGTCATATGTCTTCATAAGTTTATTTCCATCGTCGAGAATAACAATTAACGCGGTTGGAGTATTCAGGGAATGGATACAAGTGATGGTTTCCTTCTCCCCACGACTATAATACTTCGCATCGTCAAACTTCATACCATAAGTGCTTTCAATATGAGTTTGACATGGATTCCAATTCTTCCTCAACCGCAAATTCGGGCAGATTTCATTCTCTTTGGTGTCCGAAAAGTTTCCTGTGAAATATGCGAGGGTGTGACCAACATCTTGTGACGGCGTTCTCACTATAAATCCACCTTGGAACACAGCAGCTTCTCCATTTGATCGAATGGAACCAAGTGATCGTATGTTGTCATTCCACCCGACCACAGAAAACGACCGAAGCCCTCGTGCAGTGAATTGGTCCAACACTTCACAGTTCTGGTTATAGCACATGTCAAACTCAAATGGATTTCCACCGACCGTGCGGATATTTTTATACGACGCGTGTGTTAAAATGATTGGGTGGAGTGGTTTGTCTTGTGGGACATTCGGGTAGTTGTTAGCTTTCATTAACGAATCCTTGACTCTACCAATGGAAAAGGTTGTTGATGGATGTGATGTGTACCCAACTGTACTGTTATAATTGTTATAATGTTGTTATAGTAAATAACATTGGATGTCAATAACAAACTTTCAACTCTCAGACTATCATTGTTGGCTTCATAGAAGGAAGCTGTATATCTAGTGTTACTCTCAGGGGGAATATTACTACTATCTAAGCGATTGTACAAATCATTTGAAGCAACAGGATCAATACGTGGATACCTCCACTTCGATTGTTCATTCACACGATTGACGGATCCTAAGAGAATACTTTCGACTACTCCCCAATCAAAGCCAGCCCACTCTGCAGGGGGCGGAAGACGATAAGAATCAAGCGTAAAGACTTTTGGCGCTAACATTAAAGTCGATTGTTGGAAGGTCTGATACGTTGACTCCATTTTTAATTTGAAAAATATAAGACTCATTAATGATACAGTAAAGGTTATTACAGCTACTATAGTCATCATTACCCATATCGACCATATCAACCACCCATCAGACTTTTGTTCCTCCTCTTCGTCATCGGGTTGACGAAGGTTTGTGTACTCGTTCATTTGGTCTTTCAACATCGAGAATGTTTGAGTGTATTTTCGAGTTTCTATCTCGTCATGTTAGTTTGGAAAATAATAGTTATAGTTTATATTAAAAATATTTATAAAATATAGTTTTTGTTTTTTATTTGGTAAATTATTTTACTAACTATTTTTTACTCTTTTTATTAACATTTTGTTGTGAAATAATATGATTGAATAATAAATTAATTCAGATAAATATTAGAAAATAAAAAATAGTTTTTAATTGTATATTTTATGATAAAATAAATTGATTCTAATACATTATTATTAGTATCAGATTAATAAATAAATAAATTCAAATAAACAATAGTTTTGAAAAAAAAATAATAATAAAATATTTTGAAAAATATTTGTTCAAAAAATATAAAAATAACAAATGAGTCATTTTGTTTAATTTCTAAAAAATCTAAACCATATATTAGTAATAAAATAATCAAAATTATAGCATATGTTTTCAACAATTTGTGAGTCAAAGATTGAACTTTAAATTTTTCAAACATGTGAAGTTTACAAAATCTATTTATTAATATATCACAGGATTTAATTGTAGAAAAAACACATTGAAATCGAGACAAAAACTATTGTTTCTTACATTAAAAAAAACAATATGTTTTTAAACAACAATTTTTGAAATGATGGATGAGGCATAACATGGAACTCGAAAACAGAAAAAAAGAATGGATGCTCAGACAAAACGTATTATCGACAGTCTTCCCCTATCAACTTACAGTTTGTAACATACATCACTTATAGTTATGAAGTATACAACCAAATAACTTACAACTAGGAAAAAAGATGAAAGAAGAGACTGAGTGTCTTGACCGAAGTGAACTTCTTAAAGTGATAGAGTCTGAGGTACAAGGAAGTACTGAGCTTTTTGATATTGTTGAGCCAATTACTTTGTCGTTGATTTATGACTTTGATTTCAAGTCTTCTCGTCTTCAAGAAAAATTCTTTGATGACGACAATTTCCTGAAGAAGTGTGGGTATTCTCAAAAGACACGAGAATGGTATGCACCTAAAGAACAATGTTTTCCCGCAGACTATACCAAATTAGCTTATAAACAATATGGGACACTATTTGTGAGTGAAGAATCCGTCAATAGTATTATGTCTCGTGGTTTCAACAAAGTCATAGCCACTGCTGCCCTTATGATGAACAACAATAATGAAGAAGATGCTTTACAACAGATCAGAATCAACCTTCACAAGCTTATTGTACTTTTAAAAAATGAACTTCAAAAATATAGGGGAAGAATTGCACCACCACTGGAAACAGCAACGGCCGCCCCTCTATTGGATTATTCTAAAGAATTTTATTATGATTTGGCCACCCGACTGCCCAGTGAAAAAGAAATAATCCAAGCTGTTTCAAACGAGAAGAACGTGCCAAAAGACATGAGGGTGTGGTTCAACCAACTTCAAAAGAGGTTTGAAGAGGAGAACACAAAGAGGGAGAAAATGCTTGAGACTTCTGGTGTGACTTGTGATGTCTGTTACGAGGACAAACTTCCAGAGGAGATGATGACAAATCGCTGTGGACATACATTTTGTGTGAATTGTATTCGCGACCACATTTTGAGTGGGATGAAAGAGTCTGGGAAGACAATAGGTAACTTGCGGTGTTTATCTGGCGGATGCAAGTGTTGTATCTGTATGGATGTTGTACGGAAATTAGTTGATGATTACACTTACTTCAAATACTGTGGATTACTCATCACCGGGTTTATAGAGAACAACAAACAAATCATCTGTAAGTACTGTAATAACAATAAATGCACTAAACTCCTTCATTTCAAAGGAGAGTACTTTGGTGGTGCTGTGACGGCGGTGTGTGACTGTGAAACTGATTTGTGTTTATTGTGTGGGAGTGACAATCACCGTCCAGCCTCTTGTGACATGTGGAAGAAGTGGACTGAGTTACTTAAGAAAGATGGATTGAATTTGAAATGGATTCGAGAGAACTCTCGACCATGTCCAAAATGTGGGACATTCATTGAAAAGAATGGAGGATGTCAATGGATGTCATGTTATAAGTGTCATTCATTCTTCTGTTGGGTGTGCATGCAAGTCACTAATGACCATCAACACAAACCTACACAGACGTGTAAGCCATACAACCCTAATAAAGAAAAAGATGCACACGATTATGTCAATGAAGAGACTTTGAATTACATTACACATTACGATCTTCAAAACGTCGGTGTCAAGCAGTCTATTGAGAGAAACCACACTATAGTAGATATCATCCGAGACAGAAAAGATATTTCATCAACACTAGCACCTTTATATGAAGCATCTTTGGTCGAAATTGATGCACACGTCATCCTGAGAAATTTGTGCGTCTATGGATGCTACCAACGATCAAAAAAGGATTTGATTGAGTTCCAGCAAACTAAGTTCCAGATGCAAGCAGAGTTACTCACAAAGAAGATCCAAATGATATTAAAAGCGGAAGTCATTAGTATCGAGATGATGAGTCAGCTCTCACAATTTGTCAAACCAATCAAAGACTCTTTTGAAAAAATCACACACTCAATCGAGGAGGAACTTGAGGATATGTAACTCACTCTTTAACTTATGTTATTTCCCTTCTTTTTCTTTTTGTTGATTATTACTAATTATTAATATATATCATAATATTTTATTATTAATTGTATCATAAATTAGTACAACTATTTATTAATAATATATTATAATATAGATAATAATTTATCTATATAAATATAATTATGTATAGTTATGAAAAACAACTAATTTTTATTTTAACAAAATAAAAAGTGTTTTTGTGAATGATGATATTAGTAACAAATAGTAATATAAATCAATATTAATAGTATATTTTAAAAAAAATTGGTAAAGTTCATTTCAGGGATGTGAATTGGAAGATCAAAGATTTTTTCTTTAAAAAAACTTGAAAAGCAAAATGCAATTACTTACAAATTATTTTCAAGCAACAAATGAGGCGATGATGAAACGGGCGGAGGCGGAATTAAAGGACTTTGTGAAGACAGAGCAGGCGTTTACATTTGCATTGGAGTTGCTCAAAAACGTCTCACAGCTCGACGAAAGGCTTGTGTGGTTTGTGACGTTTGTGTTTGAGAAGCGGATACGACGGGAGTGGTTTGAAGAAGATGTATCACTAGTCAAGAGTCTATTAGTGAGTGCAATGATAACATTGGATCAACTTAAAAAGGGGAATTTACTGAGTCAAATTGTTGAAATCTATTGTGGGACTATATTAGTGAATTACGAAACTGTTTCTCCAGTCACTGAAGTTGTTACATTGTTCAAAAACACACAAAACAGTCATCTCTTCTTCACATGTCTTTCAACCATTTTTGACATTTTTGAGAACAAAGTCACGAAGGTCAAAATACGTTTGCGTATTAAGGCTAACACGTTCATCCAATTTTCTAATGAAGGGAAGAACATAATGAGGGTCATTCTTAATAATTATCACACGGACTTTACCGGTGCTTTAAATTGCTTTGCCAAAGCATTTACAACGTTTCAATTTTATGTCTTCAGAACAATTGACTTCACTAAGATGATCCAACAAGCTTCTCTGTTTGTTATATATGAACTTACTTTCGATATAAAATATACTATTAATTACTATATTGCAAACTATATTAATCAGATAGAATGCCCGAGTTGAATGAAGTGGTGAGTGACTGTTGCGACAAAATGATATCAGCGCATGGAACTGATTTTCCGTTGTTCAATTTGCTTAAGATGTTAGAAGCAATGAGACTGCAAATTGCCAATTCTGTCAATAATGACCATTTCAACGTGAATTTTATCGTCCAGTTGATGACTCTTGTGGTGAATAGTGACCGCCAGATGAACGACTTGAATTTCAAAGCTTCAGTGAATGATGGTGTTACGAGTGTCTTGAAATTTAATGAACTCCACCACAGCGATGTGAAAATGATGAGGGAGTTACATCCCGTCTTTCCCATACTTGCAAGGTACGTCTACACAATTGGGGAGTTAGACAAGATAGAGGTGATGTGTGCGTGTATCTTAGACTCTATCTTCCACTTCAAAAATGGTCGAATGGAAGAGTTGGATTTGACAGAGGATCTGTTAAATAAACAAACGGAGTATGAACGACTCATCGACCAGTCTATGCTTTACATTGGAGGGCTGATCGAGTACAACGAGAACTGCAAATCCATATGTGAGAACTACTCGAAGAATGCAATTGAACTGATTTTAAATAGGAAGACAATAGGCATTGGCGCCATATTAGATTTCAGTACAGCAAATTCGGTGTTTCTCATGAGTCTTGCTGGGAAGAATTTGAGTCCTGAAGGGTGTACTTCATTTTTAAAGCAGGTGTTAGAGTACGGTGTTTGTGTGCAAAGTATTCAAGATGATGAATGTAAGACACTTGTTACTTCATACGCAGTACTTGTAGAGAACTTATGTGGGATGCTACGCGCAAGTACCATTGAGATGAGGAGCTCAATAGCCTCTATTATCTTTTCGATGGGGTTCAAGTGTGTGAATGTGTATATCAAAAAGGAGATATTGGAATTGGGGTTTGACGTTGTTGCGATGTGGAAGCCGGAGAGTCTGACATACAAAGTGGTGAATGATATATTCAAACAAATTCTTGGGGTTGTGGGACAATTTCCTGCACAACTCCAAGCTGAGGTGTATGGTATGGTCTTGTCTTTTGTGTTAATAGAAAACGGGAGAGAAATATCGCAGCAAGAGGTGGACTTTGGGAACCAATTACTCAATTTTCTGATCCTGCAAATCAAAGAAAAGTGCGAGAAGAATGACGAGAATGGATGTATAACGAGTATTTTGTTTATGAAAGACGTCATTTCCAAATGCGACAGTATTCGAGTTGGTTCGAGTCTTCTATTCAATTGTGTTGAACTCTTACATGTGACTTATGTGAAAGACAACTTGATGAAGATGAGTAAATACCTCAGGAATGCGTATTGCCAATTGTTTAATGAAACTATTAAAACACTTGGGAATAATTTGGCGGATGGACAATTGAGTGGAGTGGTTGATTCGTTCTTTGAGGTGTATGGAGAACACTTTGATGATGTGATAAAGAGTGGGGACAAGATCGAGTGTGAGTCGTTGTGTGTGTACATCGCCATGTTTTCGAGGTTTGTGCAATTTTCAGTGCGAAAATATGTGAATAACTTTGATGGGATGCCCATAGAGTTGTTACAAATGAGTGAGAAGGCATTCATGTTTTGTATGGACAAATTGGGGAAGTTATTGTCGTCTGATTTGTATACAACAGAAGTTGTTATAGAGTCATACACTATCCTTTTTGACTTGACAGAAATGTTTGCGGAGAAGGTTATGACTGATCAAGAGCTCGTGATGTTTGGTGTCAACATGATAGTGAAAGGAATTAAGAATGAAGATATGAGTGTTGTTAGACTTGTTGTAGAGAGAGTGGAACAATTAAACATGAAAAAAAGGATGTTCAAGTGGGACTATATTAGAAAGGCATCGACACGAATTGTGTTTACTGTATTAACAACAATGATTGAAAATCATAACAACTTTGAGGAATTGGCGAAATTACTTTTTGATTTTTCTAAAGAGCAGCCCAATGCCAAAGCGATTTTTGAAGAAGTTTGTGAATTACTTTAATATATTATAAATATATTATAAATATTATAAATATATTCTTAAAAATAGGTTTTATATACAATCAACACAGAAGAAGGTGTGCCTGAGAAAGAAAGAAACCGGATTGTTTTACTTTTCCAGAACTTGACACCAAAGAGCTTTTTGAGAACATTGAAGAATTTTGTTAATGATGTTGCGATCAATAGAAGTTTGGTGAACTGTTAGAAACGCTTGAAGGAATATTGAATCAAATTTGTACAAGTTAGTGTTATTTTGAATGAATTGGATTGGTAATAGAATTACAAAGACCAATGAGTTAGTGAGGACTGGCACTCATAGTTGAGACGAACTAGATAATTAAAAATAAGACCTACAAATGTCAAGTTGTTGACATCGTTTTTACGAGCGGATTTAATTTTCGATTCGTCAAGAAGAGAGTTCAAGTAAATGTAGTCCAACAACATTTTGTTTGGCGGGGTACTTTCAGTCTGTTTATTTGTATCTATGTCATATTCAATTCTAATAATAAGTTACTATATATAATATTATTAATTATTAGTACTTTATAATACAAGAATAAACAACAAACAAAAGAAAGTAGGA